CTGCCCTCCCCCTCCCTCCCCTCACCCTCCACTGGGCCCTGCAGGCTCCTGTGCTGCTCACGCCTCTCCATGCCTGGCACGTAGTAGATGCAGAAGAAATGCTGCCCCAGAAACCAGCCTTGGCCACACTCAACTCATGGCCCCGGTCTTGCTGGTGGCCTGGGTGGGGGCCCCTGGCCCTGCCACTGCCTTTCCAGGGGATCCTCCACCTGCCCAAGGTCAACCTCAGCAGCCTGGTGACTGGACCCGCTCTGACACACACAGAAGCCCCAGCCTCACTTCTTACTATTCTTTAATGCTTCTCTGGGGGCACATGGGGGTGGGGGTCCCTGGAGGCTGAGCCAGGAAGGTGCCAGGTGAAAGTGCTGAGCTTCCCCAAAGGGACCCCAGGCAGGTTGGCCACTGCTGGGTACCAGGAAAGTCTTCAGAAGAGCAAGATTGGCTAATTTTAGCTCAGGACACCCAGATTCTCTAGAGCCACATCACATGGAGCCCAGCGTCCCCGCGGCTTTGTTCTCCTTGTGGCAAAGGTGAGTGACGGAAGTCGGCAGCTGACGGGCGCCGCCACCTTTCTCTGGAGTCCTTGGGAGGCAGACAAGGGCTGGGCTCCTCGTGTTTTATTTTTAACAACGTCACATTCCTGGAGGTGCCCCTTGGATGGATGTCAGATGCTGCACAGAGACAGGCGCTGGGCCGGATCAGGTGGCCCAGACTGGGAGCCCGGGACGGCGAATCCAGAGCCTGACTGAGTCCGGGCTTTGCCAGCACTGGCTGTGTGGCTTGCCCAATTACCTCCCCTCTCTGGGCCTGTCTACACCTGTAAAGTGGGCAAGTTGGACCCAGTGATCACTAAAGTCTTTTTAGTTCTAAAAATCTGTGAAGCTGGTCAGGTTGTGGGAAGGACAGTGGAGGGTCCCCTTCTTGTCACAGGAGGACAGAGATGATGTGCTGAGCCTTGGGAACGGGTTCACCTGCAAGAAAGACATGCCCTCGTCCGCACACAGGTGGCTGGAGTGGCCAGAACGTGCCCAGCCAAGTCAGCACGTGCTGCCTGTCCTGCTGGCTAGGGAGAGGAGCAGGGTCCATTTGGGATTTGGGTTTGAGTATCCCTGGGCCAAGCCACAGCACTCCCAGGCCCCTGGACTCCTTTCTCAGTCTCCAGTCCCCTGCTAACGTTTCCTGGGGTCATTTCCAACCAAAGGGCTTGCATATCACTGACAAGGGACATGGTACCCCCAGACATGACACCCGAGAGGGACACAGCTCACTTAGGCAGTTGGACACCCCATACTTGGAAATATTCCCAGACCTCTGGAACCGCCCGGGGACTCCTGACGAGGAGCGCTTGGGCCAGGGCAGCTGAGGCGTCTGAAGATCTGCGAGCAGAGGCCCCCGGCGGTCAGCCTGCTCTTCAGTGGCTCCGGAAAACATGCTACTCGCAGATAAGGACAATAAAGACGGGACAAATGATAACATCGATGGACAGGTGAAAAGGTGGATCGGGGTCTTCTATCACTACGTTTGTTCTTGCAGTTTTTCTGGTGTGTGTTTGATGTGTTTTCCAAAGAAAATGTTGAAAAGCCCACTGTGGGGGCCTAGCAGTCGTCCAGCAGTGACGCCTGTCATCCCCAGATCCAGGAAGAAGAGGGCGAGGGTTCAGGAGGCGGCTCCAGGGGCCTGTGTGGTGGGAAGCCACTGCCAGCGGCCAGGCGATTGGGGGTGTGGCAGCAGGTGGGCAGGCAGGGGCTGGTGGGCAGATGCAGGGAGGGACATCAGTGGACACATTCGGCTTGAGCCACTCGCCGCTTTGCCAAGGAGCCACTTCGCGGCCTGGGACGTGTCCACAGCTGGTTCCTCCTCAGCGCTCTCCTGTTCGCAGCTGCCCCTCTTCCCAGAATCACAGTCGCCCCCAGCTGATGAGGATCCACGGCCTCTCTTGCATGGTCCCTGTGGAATAAGTGAGCAAAGGGAGGGCCAGACAAGTGGCCCCCCAGGTCTAGTGTTGCACAATGTGCTGGACAATGTTGCTTACTCTGCTCAGGACAGAGTGGCCTGGTAGCCTGAGAGCTGCAGCAGGATGCCCTCCAAAGGGTGCTCTGCTGGGAATCAGGATGGTGGAGCTGACTAGATGAGTTGGCTGTGTGGTCCTGGCAGGTGGTCTTCCCTCTCTGAACCTTCCTCTCTCCATCTTAAAATGAGGGAGTTGATTTACTCTAGAGCTCTTCATTCTTTTTGAGGGACTGTGATTCCTTTGAGTAACTGGTGAACTCTGTGGCCACTCTGCACTTCAACCTGCACATCATCCCAAGAGGTCCACCCCTCTGGGCCCCTGTGGACACTCCCTGTTTAGACTAACTTAGTCTGATGGAACTCCCATAGTCTTAAGTCCTAGGAGCCATCAACATAGAGTCAGTGGGTTCCTGGGACACTCCCTGGTCCAGCCCCACTAGAATCCCTCCAAACCATTCAAGATTTCACTCATCCTCCCAATGTGCTGCTCGGGCTCATCTCCACTCAGCTAGAGGGACGCTGAACCAAATGGCAGCCATCGCCAGGAACATGACCCTGGACAGATACCACCTGAAAAATGGCTCCAAGTGAAGGTCGTTTCTCCTTGTCATCAGCAGGACAACGTCCACCTGTGGCTACAGTCACACCCCTTGGCCCCAGAGAGAAGGAGTCCTCTGGAGCCCGCAGGCTCTCTCAGCCAATGGGGATGGAGACGCTGCCTATAGGAGCTTGACACTCCCGATCGGCAGGAGAGGCTGCTCAGCAAGGACAGGCCAAGGCGATTCAGACCGTCTCCTGGGACACTACCAGCAGAAAAAATAGAGCTTTAATTAAGCCCCACATGCAAGCCACTGATTGCAATTTACCATCTCAAATTTAGTAGAGAATTTCCCCCAGGCCTGTGTGCAGTCACTTTAGAACCTCACGCGTTGATGGTGGCTCATCTAATCTTGGTCTTCAACTTTTCCTTTAGCCTTGGCACATTCTGTGGAGAGGCCTGGTAGGTGGGACAAAGGACCGTGGAGACCTCTAGGTGGGAGCCAGTCACAGTGGTGAGCAGAGCTGCAGTTAGGAGTCACCACAGCAGACACCCGGCACAGACATGTCCTCAGTCAGGAGAGGGGGCAGATGTGGGGGCTTTCAAGGACCCCAGGTCTTCTAGTGTCTATTGAGGATTCTGCTCTGGTCCCAGGGCTGAGCCTCCCCTCAGCTCAAGGGGCTGTGGGCAGGCACTGCCTGGGGAGAGAAGGTGTCTAGAGATTCTTGCATGATTCTAAACATCACCGGTTGCCAGGGTGGTGCCCTGGCTGGCAGAGCTCTGCCCGCTTGGCTGATCTTCTCTGCCACAAGGCCCTGAAGGGAGTCTGTGGAACTCTAGTCAGAACACCCCAGGTCAGGATCTACCCTGACCTGCCGTTGATCGCAAGAGAAAGAGGGCTGCCCAAAGTCACGGAGGGAGTGAGAAGTCCAGGCCTCTGGAGGCACCGAGTGGTCCAGCCCCCGGAAGAGAGTAAGTCGGAGCCTTCGTCTTTTTAAAATTTTGCCCAAGAGTAGTCACAAAAAAGTTTAGCCTGGGGCAAAAGACTCATGGCTATCGTTCAAGGGTCCCCAGAACCTGACCCAATGCCTGTGAGACTTCGCCAGCCATTTCCCAGAGCAGAGTGGCCCGTGAGAAGTAGGGATGGTAGAGACATTCCTTGTGCGGTGGCCACTGTGTCACCTTGCAACGAGCTTACTTGGAGAAATGTCAGCTTGATGACCTGCTGACTGCTGAGGGGTAAAGGGATGGGGACATGTGCCTGCACCGCCGGGAGGACATCTGAGGAGTCGAAGGAGTCGAGGGTTCCTTGCACTTCAGGCTCGGTGCTGATGCTCCACGCCAGAGCCGTCGGCTGTGTGTCGTAGTAGGGCAACCTGGGCCTGGCACAGAGAGGCCTAAACACCAGTGGAAGGAGCGAACAGCAAGGGACCTATCATCAGCGATGACGGGCGGACCACCTCCTGTGAGGCCATGCTGTAGCCGCAGGTCCCGCTCCCCGGCCCAGACTCATCTGTGTCCCATGTACTTTCCCAGTGGACATTCAGCCAACAGAGACCAACCGTGCAGGGCCCTGTCACTCCTGGGGAGTGCCATTGGGACATCTTCTAGGTGTGCTCTGCTGAGAGACAAAAGACAGAGAGACTCCAGATGTGACTCGACCTTGTATGGTGAGTTCCACGGAGGAGGTCCCCTGCAGGTCCTGCTTCTCTGCTCAATCACCCCCATTCAGTCTGGTCTCACATCCTCTCGACCACTGTCATCGTCCTCACCCACCGTCTGTCCACACCACCTCTACAAAGCTCCGCGGGTCTGCATCCTCTCATCTCAACCCACTTTTCCCCCAAATGCCCCTAAGCATTCAGCCCATCTGGGCCTCTGGGCCTCTGGGCGTCCACTGCTCAAGAGGTCCTTGTCTGCTCTCCGGATCTCAGGACCCCTTGCCTCATCCCCAGCACTGTGGCCCTCAGCCTGGCTTCTCTCCCGGGTGCCAAGTGCTGATCTACCCATAAACCAACAGAGGAAGACGCACATCTAGATATAAACAGAATGTCCGTCCCGTGGCCTGGTCCAGGAGCCAGCTGGGGTAGACCCTGGCAGCGGCTCTGTGTCCGTGTGTCTTGGCTGAGCTTGGAGAGCTCAGGTCCCTGCAGGGCTGGAGGGACCAGCAGCAGACATCACAGAGCCCCGGGAGAGTCGGCCTCTGTCAAGGCCAAGGGCTGGCTGGCTGCAGAATGTCCCACCAAGAGCCTGGCCAGCCAAGGAGAGCTTTCTGTGCCCTGATGGCAAGTGCTGCGGCGCCCAGGTCCCAGGTTGGCCAGAGGATGGCAGGCCTGAGGCCATGCACCCCACACCAGCCAGTTCTGCCTTCTTAGCACAGAGCTTCCAGAACAGGGGGCTGGCAGCTGCCCCTTTGGGAAATCCACTGGTGGAGGTTAGGTTGAGAGCATGTGGTGCCCCACGGAGCACGTGGAGCTGGGCGGGGGTCTAGCAGAAGGGTTTCCCCGTGGTGATGTGGCCCAAGAAAGCAGGTCCTAGGGAAGAGTGGGATTCTGCAGGCTCGTCATTTAACCAGTTCTGTGGGCATCAGGTCCCAGAGTGGGATGCTGCAGGCTGCTGGGGAGAAGAGAGAAGGCAGGGAGATGGGCCCGGCTCAGGAGGATGGGCTGTGCTCAGCAGATGGGCAGGAAGGGAGGAGGCAGGTGGCTGGGGAAGGCTGGCCTGGATCTGGAGGCCATGAGCGCCAAAGATCACAGCGACAGACATCTTTGGCCGGGCAGCCTCCTTGCTTTGGGAGGCTCTCTGGAGCTCTGGAGACCTGCGGCCAGTTGGTCTACCCCAGGGTTCTGGAGCTTGGTTCAGCGAGAGGGATGGGCTGGAGCTACAGGGTGCATTCAGGAGGGATTCTGAGCTACACTTGGGGGACCGGCAAGGCGGGGCCCTCCAGCATCAGGTCGTCCACGTCGGCGAGGAGCTCATGTTCGCTGTCAGAGTTGGTGTGTTGGAGGCGGCGGAGGCGGGCCTGCAGCCACTCCTGCTCCTTCTTGAGCTCCAGGTAGGAGTGGGAGAAGGTGTGGAAGATGGACGTGGCCGGGAAGGCCATGATGAGGATCCCGCTCAGGATGCTGCTGAGGGCCACCATCTGGCCTGGCACGCTGCGGGGCACCATGTCCCCGTAGCCCACCGTTGTCATGGAGATGATGGCCCACCAATAGGAAGCAGGAATGCTGGTGAACTCCAGGACCCGGCCGGACTCATTCTCCGCCAAGTAGACCAGAGGGGAGAAGAGGGTGACCGCCACGGCCAGGAAGAGGAGCAGCAGCCCGAACTCCCGCGCACAGCGCCGCACTGTGAGGCCCAGTGTCTGCAGCCCCAGCGAGTGGCGCGCCAGGCGCATCACGTAGAGGATGCGCAGCGCCCGCAGCACGCGCAGCACCAGCCCCACCTTCTCCAGGTAGGAGCTGCTGCTCGGCGGCCTCTCGCCGTCCTCCGGGGGTTCCTCGGACACCGCCAGCGACACGTAGTACGGGGAGATGGCTAGGATGTCGATGATGTTCAGCGGCCCCTGGAAGAACTGGCACTTGTTCCGGGCCTGGACGAACCGCAGGCAGAACTCCAGGGAGAACCAGGCCACGCAGATGGTCTCCACCACGAAGATGTAGTAGCATTTGTGAGAACATTCGCCCTGGGGGGGAGAGCAACCAAAGGCAGGTGGGGAGAACCCCAAGGCACGGGAAGTGGGGAGACGGCTTCTCCTAAGAAGCCTTCCTGGATGGGTCAGCCGGCCAAGCTGTCCACCCAGCCTCCTCTTTTGCAGTTTCAGGTTGTGGCTGGTTGCAAGGCTGCTCGGCTGGACCTGACGCCACCCTCTCCAGCCTCGCTTGCAGCCAGCTGACCGACTCACCTATGGAGAACCACCTCTGGGCCCAGGGGTTGGGCTGCACACTCCCGGTTCCCTGCACCAGGATGCACAGGTGGGCCTGCAATGCAGCTCAGAATGGCAGGTTGGACCAGCGCTCTGGGGAGGATAGACTCCAGGTGGAAAAATCTGGGTCTCAGAATAGGAGCCGCCCACTCACCCAGGTCTCAATGGGGACTGTCTGCAAGAGAGATACCAACTGCTATTTCGTTTCCAGCCTGGCTCCGAGGGCTTCCATGTTACCGAGGCCAACCTTCACCTTGGCTGATGTAGCCGCATTCTGGGTGCCACACTACTCTGGTGCTGGCCCTTGGCAATGCTGTGAGTGAGTGGTGTGACCTCAGTTCACGGCTCAGGAAATGGCTCCTAGTAGTGCGATGACTTGCCTGAGCTCACAGACCTAGTAGATGGTGGTTATGGTGGCTGAGACCTGACCCCAACCCAGGTCTCAGCCACCATAAGCTGTTTCTGTAACTTCATCTACTGTCCCTCATTCTTTGAGTCCACAAAAATGGATTGAGGGTCCCCCGTGTGTCAGGCGTGTGTTAGCTCTTGGGGTAAGGTAGCGAGGGCAGCAGACCTAGCTCTGGGGGCTGGAGGGACCCAGGGCTGCAGTCCAGCCCCTGCCACATGTGGTGGTAACCTTCACCCGGCCATTGTCTTCCTTGCTGGTTCCAGCCAGGTGGGGCCCCCCTGGGGCCCCCCTGTGTTGCTGAGCTCCCTGCCCCTGGCTCCTAACATCTAACATGGTCCCACTAGCCTGTTACTATTCAGAGTGTGGTCCTCCAACCAAGGCATCGACCCCCCTCCCCGCATCTGCATTTTAACAGACTCCACAGGTAGTTTGGTGCACTCTGAGGTTTGAGAAGCCCTGCTCAAATGTGCCTCAACCTTGGCTGTGCCTTAGAATCACCTGGGAGGCTTGGAAACACCCTGTTGTCCAGGCCAGATGCCCAGAGATTCGAATTTAGTTGATCTGGGTTTTCACTTGAGTGGTAGAATTTTCCAGAAGCCCCATAGATGATTCTAATGTGCAGCCAGGGTTAAGAACCTGACGATCAATAACACACACAGAAGCACACACCTGATGGATGAGTGGATGGATGGCCAAAGCCCACTGCCCTTGTGAAAAGCAGGATGTTGACAATGGCAGTTTTTTAGATTAAAACGCTCTGAAGTGGAAAAAGAAATTATTTCTAGGGCTTGGGCCCAGAGGAGTTCTAAAACGCAATGTTCTCTATGTCTGACTGCGGGAGAAAAAGAAAGGGGCGGGTCCATCCCAGGTCTCACTGGCCTGTCCAGGGCCGGGCTCTGTTCTCCTTGACCTCTGTCTGGTCTGTGTAGGGTGGGAGGCAGAGGGAGGGCTGTTGAGAGATGGAGCCCAGAGCATTTGTGGCCTAGGTTCAAATCCCAGCTGTCCCACTTACTCAGGGGAGTCATTTGTCCCCTCTAGACTTCCAGTCTGTGCCCTGAAGGTTGGTGGGCACATGCAACCCATGCATATGAAGTGTTGACAGCACGCTGTGACTACTGGGCATGTGACCGACATGTCACTCAAGACAATAGCCTCCTGGCTCAAACGGAGGGCATCCGTGTCCTCCTCCTGCTGCTGAAGACTTTCTCTACCCTCTGAGATGGCTTCAGGATCCGAGGTCTGCTCCGGATCCTGGAAAGCGCAAGAGTTTGGGATCCTGAATCTCCAGTCCTGCTGTGTGACCTTGAAATAGTCCTTACTCTCTCTGTTCTTCAGTCTCCAATGGAGAGTTTGGGACACAATCGGAATTTTTCAAAGCTGAGACAGAACCTCTTGCATAAGAAGATCCCAGGGGGGTTTTGCAAGTGCAGGTTCTTGGGCCCCCACAAAACTGCCACCTGGGTGGGGCCCAGGAATGTGCAGGTTGGCAAGGCCCCCAAATGTGGAAGCACCCTGTCCTCCCACAGCCTGGCCCGGTCCCTCCCTGCACTGCAGCAGGGCTCCACCTGACTCCACCTGACCCTCCGCAGCCGCCTGGGGGTGAGCAGCTGGCAGCAGGCGGTGGGATCCACGGCTCCAGGGAGGGTGACCCCGCCCAGGCCTCATTGGAAGGAAACGAGGAAAGGGAAGGAAGGAAAGAAAAGAGGGTTCCGGTTCCTGTCTCTGGGGAAGCTGCTGGTGGCATTTTGCGGGGAAGGGCACAGCGCCAACTAGTCCCTAGTCTGTCCCTAGTCTGCCCACATCTTTCTGGGTCTGAGCACAGAAAACTCTGTGAAAGCCCCTCCATCCTAGGCAGGCAGAGCCCTGTGTCACCCTGTTCCTGGGCTGGCTCCCTGTGGCAGTGAGGGGGCCCTGATTCCTTCATTCAAGGAGAGGCACAGAGGCACCCCAGGAGGCCAGAGTGGGACCAGGGACCACAGGCCCCAAGTGGAACCGAACAAGCCCGATGCAGCATTTCCACCTACGGCATGTTCAGGAAGGGGTGGAGCTAAGCATTTTGATGGCAGGTGCCCTGGGCTGACCGGGAAGGGCCATGGGGGGAGTTTCGGGGGGTGGGGGGATGTTCAATGTTATATTAACAGGGGTGAAGGCTGCACTGCGTATCCGTGTGTTAAATGCAGCTATGGCTGGTGCGTTTCAGTGCACGTCAATGGTACCTGCAAAATGGTAAGGTAAAAATGATGAATGACAAGGAGGAGCGATTGCAGGGGAGAGGGGGAAGGAGAATGGCAGGACCTGGTGATTGAGCTGAGTCTTGGGTACTGGGGTCCACTGTACTATTCCATGACTTTGTAGATGTCTGAAATTTTCCATGATGAAAGTTCAAATGCAAGAAATTAAAAAGAAAATCCAAAGCCACAAGGAGATACCACTTCCCACCCGCGAGGCTGGCTGGAATCAAGAAGACAGCCCCCGGGAAGAGTGGGTGAGATCGTGGAGAAGTGGGACCCTCCGTGGCTGCTGGTGGGATGCTCAATGGTGCCTCTGCTGCGGAGAACAGTCTAGAGCTTCCAAGGGACCCAGCAGAGACAAGGACACACACGTCCACCCACAGACACTTGTACACAAAGGTCCCCAGCAATGTTACTCATCTCGGTGCAAATTGGAAACAACCGTGATGCCCATCAGCCACCAACGGGTAGCTCCAGTGTGGCACTCACGCATGCCGCACTCATCAGCCATAGAGGGGAACGAGGTACGATCCGCACCAAGGTGAGATGCACCCTGAGAAATGGCGCCAGAGAAAGAAGCCAGACACACGTGCTCGGCTCCATGCGTGTGAAAGGTCGAGGAAGCGCGGATCCGCAGAGGCGGAAAGGGCCCAGTGCTGGCCAGGGACAAAGGGGGGGTGGGGGTAGGGGTGGGAGGAGGTGCTGTGGGGTATCCTCCGGGGTGATGGAAATGTTCTGGAATAAGACAGGGCGATGGTTGCCAGCTCTGAGTGCCCTAACGCTGTTGAACTGTGCACCTTGAGGGCAGAAGGTTCTGGTAGTGTCATGTTTAGTAAGAAGGGATCCCACGTCCTCTCTGAGCTGGCCGAGTCGGGCCTGGTAGGCAGTGAGTGGGCCTGCAGCCTCGCCGGGCCCTGGCAGCTGCACCAGAGCAGAGCTGCTGTGCCAGCTGCTGCCCAGGCCTAGGTGGGCACGGGGCTTCCTGAGGGCCAGGTCTCTGCCGGGGTCTGTGGATGGGCAGCTGGGCAGACGCTGCAGGGCGGCGGTCAGTTCTGGAAGGTCCCCTGTGGGGGGCTCAGGGCCGACAGTCTGGACCTGGGAGCCTTCCTCTCTCCCTTGGTCTCTATGCAGCTCCTGCAGCTGCCTGTGCTGCAGGTGGCCGGAGTTGCCACTCTCTTGTACCCTGAGCTGAGTTCCCTGCGGGTCTCGCTCTCCTGGTGCCCTTGGGCTGCCCTCCCTGGGCTCCTTCCCACAGGCAGAGTCCGACATGGCGGCTCTGGCTCGGCCGGAGTCTCCTGGGCTGGACGTGCTGGCTCACTCCTCCCCAGCTTCTCCCTCCCTGTTCTCTCTCGGACCAGACGCCACCTGGGCCACCTCTCCCTCCTCTGGGCCTCTTCATGTGGCCCTGTCCCCAGGTCTCCTCTTCCTCTGCTCCCTCCTCGGTCTGCCCACCTCCCCACCCTGGGACGCAGGGCTCTGAGGCGTGGCGACCCAGTGGACACGGCTGGATGTGATCTGGGCCTGGGCTCTTGGCCCTGGGGGAGCCAAGGCTCCGAGGTCACGATGCTCCTCCCTGAGGAGGCCCTGCTCAGGACTGGCCCTGCAGGGCGCCTCAGTCCAGCCTGCCTTCCTCCTCCTGCTTCCCCGCCTGCTGCCCTGGCCTGTCCCTGAGGCCATCCTACCCGGCCTCCCACCCTCCGGGGGCCAGCTAGCTGCGGACTTCTCTTCCGCGGAGTGAGCGTCATTGGAGAGCTCCGGCCACTGAACCTCATGGCCAAGAACGGGATTACCATAAGGATCAAACAGGAGTCAGGGAAGGCCTGCACAGTGCTCGGGACACAGCAGGGGTCTAATAAGTGCAGCCGGCCCTCCTTACCCGCGGCTCTGTGTCTGTGGATCTAACTAAATTCAGATTGAAAATATTTTTAAAAAAGTGTCGTCTGCACTGAACATGTCCAGAGTTTCCCTTGTCATTATCCCCCAGAGGAGATGGCGCAGCAAGAGTCGACAGGGTTTATGGCGTGAGCAACCTGGAGGTGGGGTGTGAATCCACCGAAGGGTGTGTGCAGGTCACATGCGAACACTGTGCCATGTCACACGAGAGACTGGGGCATCCCTGGATCTCGGGGTCTGAGGTTGGTGGGGCGCCCTGAACCCCGTCCCCAGGGATCCCAAGGGCTGACTGTAACTCGGCTCCCCATCTCTTGGAGGTTCTCCCTGAGCAGAGGGTGGGAGGCCACCTCCCATGGCCTCCAAGATGGTGCCCTTGGCGATCACTAAAGGAGAGATCTTCGGGACACCAAGTCCAGGCAGAGGCAGGGCCTCTGGGGAGGACTGTGGACGAGGCTGGGTGGATGAGGTTTGTGCTGGGCTTTGGGGGGCTTGGAATGAGACCATGCAGAGGAGGTGGGTGTGCCGGATGCCACGGCAGAGGACGGACGGATAGCACTAGGGAAGGGGGGCCCGGCCCAGGGGTCAGGAGTAGAGCTTTCTGGCTGTGATCCAGGAAGGTGCAAGGGGGGCGTGAAGGATGAAACAGAGGAGCAGTGACCAAGTGTCGCGGAGGAGGAGAGGTGCAGAGCAGGGTGGCCGGATGGGAAGCCTGACTCATGAGGTGGAGGGGAGGGAGCTGGCTGCAGGGGCAGGTCCAGATTGCACCCGGGTGAGCTGCGTCTGCCTGACCCCACAGTGGCCCCCGATCTCGGTGCCCTCCTCCCCGGCCCCACCTTAGCCAGGTGCCCACACTTCCACCGGTCAGGCAAGGCCAGGGGCCCACCCCTGCCCCACCCCACGAGCCTTCTGGGCTCTTGACAAGCATCAGAGTACGTGGGGCAAGCCCAGACCCGGCCGTGCCCAGCTGCAGCTGCGCGGCCCCCCGCCCAGGCTTGGTGCTTGCTGTCTGCGCTGCCCCCCTCCCCGCCGACACCCCCATTGTAACTTGCAGTCTCAGGCCCAGACCCGGCCGTGGTGGCAGAGTTCACTCCCAGGGAAAAGAACACGGAAAGCTGCGTCCTTGGGGGACTCCCCCCCCACCGTGGAGCTCTGCAGGTCACGTCGCGGGTGAGTCCTGCAGCCGCATGGTTCCTCTGAGTGGGCACCAGCAGGGCCAGGCCGCAGGGGCAGCGGCCAGCGTGAGCAGCCAGCTGTCTGAATAGGGGCTCTCGGCCTCCTGTCCCCTGGGGGCGGATATGAAGTACACACACACGAGCGTCCAGCCGTTTATGTAAATGTGAGGACACAGACTTGGAAGAACAAAGACCGTCCTCAGCCTCTCCAGCTCTCTGGGTTATCGTCCCCAAAGGAAAACAGATCCTCTGCTGCGCCTCTCAGAGGGAGAACCTAAGGATGCAGCCGGGGACATGCTCCATCCCTTTGACCCAGGAGACCAGGCTGAACCCCAGGCGCCGGCTCGGGGCTGCCCTGCTCTCTAAGCCCCTGTCCCGCCTCAAATCTGGGTCACAATACGCTGGGCCCGAGTTTGCCCCCTTTGCCTTTTCTAAGCTTTGGGCTAGGGAGGCCCTGGCCCTCTCGTCCTCCAGCCTCTCTCCTGTGGAAACCCGGGCTCCTTCTGTGGAGGCTGGGGTGGGGCACCCTGGAGGACCGGGGTCAGCGGGTGCCCACTCTGCCTGGTCTTCTTACTGCAGTGCACACGGACATGTCCCTGGAGCACGGGCTTCTACACTACGGGCTTCGGTGCTAACGGATGACAAATGCTCGTCCTCTGGGGGCGGGCAGGGGGACAAGCTGCTTCTGAGTGGTTCAGTTGTCTTTATGAGGACAAGATGTTTACAGGTTGGACAAGACACACTTGGTTCCACAAATATTTATTGAGAGCCTACTTTGTGGGAGACACGGCTGGTCCTCCATGGGCCTCTTGGATCTGGAAGGGTCTCTGATCCTATGTCTTGCCCTGGGGTGTGTCTGTAAGGGAGGGACACTTAGGGGGACTGACAGCTGTTAGGAGCCCTCTGTGGCACAGGCTCCTTAGGGACGTGTGTGTTTTATCAACTGCCTATTATAACGCAAGCCCCTACACCAGGACGAGGAGCCCAGGAGCTCAGAACAGGGAGGAGTGGTGCTCTAAGTTCAGCATCGATGCAGTTCTAACTGGAAGCTCTCCCAGAAAAACGCTAGTTATTCCCTTCTGGGGCCACTTGGTGCCCTGGGGGCCTGGGTCTCCCCGACATAGGGGCGGGCAGGCAGCAAGTTTGCTCGGCCTCCTGGGGCACCATCACTTACAAGCCACCTCGTCTCTGAGTTCCCATCCTGCGAGGCCATCGGGGAGGGGACTCGGGTCAGGTGGCAAGGGGAGCACGGGGGCTGGGGATCCCCGCGGTCGCGGTGTCTCTACTACAGAACTGGAAGGAACCAGATGGTCTGCACCTCCGATTCTGCATCTGAAAATGGAGCTGGGATGCCCGGGAGGAGGTGCCTCAAGACTCTGGGGCCTGGACCTGGCCCAGGGCTCAGCACAAAGCGGCTGCCCAAGGAACCCGCGCTCAGCCCGTGGCCTGTGTGGGCCTTCACGGCGGTGCTGCCTGTCCTACTCAGAGAGGTGAAGGGACTTGCCTGCCTCACAGAGCTGGTAGGTGAGGCTGGCCTCGCTGGCCCACTGAGGCCTGGAGTGACTGTCAGCACCCGAGTGGGGCCAGGTGACAACCCTCAAGAGCCCTCTGTGGGCCTGTTCCTCCAGAAATGGCTAAAAATGACCCCTTCCCACTGCCCTGGCCTAAAAATGACACCAGCCACACTGGGCAGCACTCGCATTTCCTCTACCTTTAAAGAAATGACGACGCGGTCACGGCCCTGGGCGCCTGGGCGCGGCCACCTGGGCCCGTGGGGGCCACTCACCTTGTCCTCCTCGGCCCTGAGGTCGGGCATGGTGCTCACGCACAGGCTGACGGCCGTGGTGGCCACGAAGAGGACGGAGAGGCAGGCGAAGACCTTTCCCGGCAGCCCGGAGCGCGGGTTCTCCACCATGTCGCCCAGCTGCCTCATGCACAGCCCCCAGCGCGAGCTGCGCCCCGCGGGGTGGCCGGCCTCGCGCTGCCGCTGCAGGGCCTCCTCGCGGCGCAGCTCGGCCGCCTCCTCCAGCCTCCCGAGCAGCCTGCGCAGGCAGCAGCGCTCCAGGCTGCCCTCCGCGACGCCCCAGTAGGCCAGCTCCTCCCGGAAGGACAGCGCGCACGTGTCCTGCAGGAGCACCAGCTTCCCGGCCGCCAGGAAGCTCGCGATCACCGCGAAGGCGCTGGGGCTCCTGTCGAAGAAGAACTCCTGGGTGTCCTCGTCGAAGTCGTCGCACAGCTGCCCGATCTCCTCGCGGCTGCGGCAGAGCCGGAGCTGGCTCAGGCGGCTCAGCGGGAACGCGTCCAGCGTGCTCCAGGGCAGCAGGAACCGGTGGCCCCCGACGTTGACCAGGACTTCCTTCTTGAGGTCCGCCTCCGGGGGGGCCTCCAGCGCGCCCAGCCTCCGGGCCCTGCGGTAGTACAGGCCCTTGGCGGACCGAGTCTCCAGGGGGCCCGGCAGGAGCTGGCTCAGGGGGCTGTAGGAGCCACCGTGAGGGTGTCCGAGGCCCAGGACCCCATCTCCCGAAGGCACTGGCATGGCCGGAGATGTCCCTGCCCGGGAGCAGTGGGAGCACCTGTCTGACACCAGAGAAAGGGCAGGAGGCAGGGAGGTAAGGCTGGGGGGAGGCCCAGACCCCCAGGCCACCCGCTCCCTGGCTTTCCTGTGGCTCCTCCTGCACCCTCCTTCCCGATCCTCGACCCTCGTCTCCCAGAACAGCCACTGGGGTCATGGGGACTGGTCCTGAACTAGACAAGGTGGCCATCTGGGCTGTGTGGCCCGGGGCATGTGGCTTCGCCTCTCTGCTCTCAGCATCCTGCATTCAAATGCAGGGACTCTCACAAACCCGCAGGGCGCTGTCGGTAAAGAGAGCTGGTCGGGGTCCCCGCGAGGCTCCCATCCCTTAGGGACTGGCCACAGCCTCTCCAGGGCCTCTGCTTGCTCTGTGAGGCTGGGGCGGCGTGAGGGCCCACATCACGGGGCACAGGGAGGCTACGGGTGGGGTGCACTGGGAACACTCCAGATGCTCCCCAGTTAAGTGGCCCCGGCGGCCCCACCAGGCAGACGGGATTCCCCCTCCCTATAGGCGGGAAGAGGCTCAGCAAGGAGAAGCACCCGCTGCTGAGAGGCTGCTCAGGGAGGCTGGCTACTGAGGGGTCAAGGACATGGGCCTCTGCTTCCAGAGTCCTGCTCTCAGGAGAAGTTCTGTATGACTGCTCTGTCCCTCTCCTTGGCTTCCTCATTTGGAGGACCTGCCTGGGAGGGTGGAGGGCACTTCATGCTCTTCAGTGAGGGCTCTCCTCCATGCTGTCATTGTGCCATTGTGCTCTTGCCTCAGCCACCCTTGCTGTGTGACCTTGAGCTAGTTACTCCCCTTCTCTGGGCATTTTTTTTTTTAATCTGCAAAATGAGGGGACCCCTAATGCTCTCTCCATTTCACACCTATTTGGACAGCTTGACTTAGACAAGCATTTAGATCTAGCCCGTTCACACATCTAAAAAATCGCCTCCACAACATTTCTCATCCTCAGTATTCTGCAACCATTTCTTATGGTGTTCCTTCCAGCCGGAGCTGTCTCCAAAGCATCTACAGCCTTACATTTGCAGACACGCCGCAGTCAGGAGGAGCAGTCAGCAGCTGATGGAAATAAAAGTTCCTCTCAGTTCAGAGCAGGCTGGACTCTGGTGGATGGTGCAGAGTGACTCACGCCGGTGTAGTCCACACTGGCTGGCCCCACGGCAGCCTGCTGTGCTGCATGTGTCACTTTGCTCACAGCGTAGGACCAGGGGAAGGAGCACAGCCTGCAGAGGGGACAGTGCTTGAAATCGGGGAGCGCTTACCCATCTTGCTCATTTCCCAGGTGCAGAAGCCAAGGCCCAGAGAGCTGCGGTGACTTGTCCAAGGTCACACAGCATATCCAAATCCAACCCAGATTCGGTTTCCCAGCCTGGGGCTCTGCCTCCTCTGCACTCACAACACACCCAACTGGGCAGTCGACTGCCCCCAAACAGCTGGCAAGCAAAGCTGCTTCTAGAGGCAACGTCTCAAAACAGGATCTCCGTCCTGCGCCCCACCCCCGCCCGGCACCAACTTCTTCCCCTGAAGTTCAGCTCACCCTCTTGCCTCACGGAGCTCATTTGCAGCGGCTTCTCTGCCAGGCAAGGAGAGCCCACAGCCCAGTGGCCAGGAGAGGGACGGTTTGTGGTGGGGACGAAGGGAGAAGAAAATTCCAACCCCAGCGGTTCCCGGCAGAGTTAGTCTCTCCCCTCTCCCCCCCCAGGAGCCGGAAGTTCATTCATTGTGCTCTCTCTCCTGCAGCTGCAGAAGAGCCCCGGGGGGGGGGGGGGGGACGTTAGAAGGACCCCGAAGTCCCCCCTCCTGAGAGGTGAGGGTCTGAGGTCGCGCTGAGGAGCTGGGCTTGTTGTCCTGCCTCAGCCGCCGACTCTCCAGGTCCACGGGGACGGCCAGCATGGTCCTGCGGGGGCGGGGGGGGGAGGGCTTAGGAGTAATCTGTCCATCAGCCGGAGCGCTGCTGCTCTGCCAACCGCCAGAGCTGTCCTCCCTCCTTGCTAGAGCATGGAGCAGGAGAGGCTGGGCACCGCGGGGCCAGGGCATCTGCAGCTTCCTGCACCCGGGCGCCCTGGGGGTGCCTGGGGCGTGTGGGTGATGCCCGGGCTGCCCGGAGTTTAGCTGCTGTTAATCAGCCCAGGCCTGGGACCGGGTGGGACAGACAAGCCTAGCCTCGGAGCCCTGGCTGGGGATTTGGGAGGCTGAATTCCAGAATAGGAACAGGAAGACTGTGAGCTCCCCAGCTCCCGTGCAGAAGGCTGGGTGACCGCGGGCCAGAGAGTTAGGTCCCCTGAGCCTCAGTTTTCTCGTTTGTAAGAAATAGAGGAATGAGAGGAGTTCGGGGCAGATCAGACCTGAGTCACTAGAGTAAGCTCCCCTGTGGGTTAGCCCTGTGTGGGGGAAGAGGAAGATGCACACATCCAGGGCCCGCAGGCTCTACCCCTGCACGGCCTTGCTGTGTGTCCTTGGTGAGTCACTTTACCTCTCTGGACTCTGTTTTCTCACTGGTCAAATGAGGACAGTTGCGCCAGTAAAGGCTGAAATCACAAAACCCCGCCTAATGGAGGTTATACATCTGTTCTTTTAATTTGCTTAAGAGGTTTGGAAGCCCAGACTCTTGGCCTCTGAACATAGGTGATCTTTGCCCCTCCAGTTTAGCGCTGAGGCCGGCGGCTTGCCCAAAGCCCCCTTGCTGGTGAGAATCTGAGCCAGGTCAGGTTCCTCCTTAAAAGAGACTGGGTTCTGTCGCAAGGAGAACCCAGGCCCAGCCCCTTGGAAGGGCTGTGGAAATGCTGGCCTCCTTGGACTCCCTGGCCTGGGCCGGGGGTGAGGGAGTCCAGGCACAGTGAGGAGCCGGGGGCACCGGTGGTCTTCGGTGGTGTCCATGAGCCTCGGGTTCTGCAGGAGGGGTTGGGGCCTGGCCCCGGGCGGCACAGCAGGAGGAACAGAGACGTCTCTGAGCCGGCTTCTCGGCCTAGGCCCCACGGCTCACTCCCCTCTGCTCTGCGTGAGGCTTAGTGTCACCAAACACATGTCCCAGCCTGAGGCCCTGGGTTCAGAGCTCCTGCCACAGAGATTGTAGGCATGAGCAGTAGCAGTCAGGCCCTGCCTTGTCCCCTCTCCACCCCGTGACTGCTCCAATGGCTCTCATAGACCAGACTCCAAAATTCTCTGCCTCCTGATTTCTGCCCAAAGGAGGCCCCTTGATTGTTCATCCTGACTTAGCCTCTTGGGCCTGAGAACCCCTCCTCTGTCCCTCGTTCTCTGAATCTGCAGGGCATGAGTTCAAATCAAGAATTTGCCACTCCATGCTGGGTGGCCCTGAGCCAGTGTCTTTGCCTCTCTGGACCTCACTCTTCCCACCTGTGCGGCTCTCTGTTGACGTGACCTTAGCTGAAGGGCCCAGGCCCCGTGTGGCTGGGACTGTCATCTCACCGGCTCTCTCCCAAGCCCCCAGGAAGGTCAGAGAGAAGCCAGGAGGAGTCTGCCCTCAGAAAACCCTTGGAAAGGAGAGCGGCCTCCGACCCCGTGCCCCCGCCCCCCCCAGGAGGGGACCACTGCCCCCGCCGCAGCCGCTGAGGACTCCCAGCCCAGGGCTCCGTCCCGGCTCCAACCCTGGCCAGCACTGCTGTCAGCTGGGGCAGTAGGGCCCTTCACCTGAGCCTGGGGTCCAGGCCACCCCTGCCCAGTCCCTCCCCAGGGCTCCCTAAGTCGTGGGCAGCTTTCGGCTCAGTGCTGCCTTCCTTCCCAGGACCCTCCCTCAGGTGGACACGACCTTGGCTCTCCAGGAAGGTACCCAGCCCGTCCCTTCCCCACAGGTGGGAAGTCCAGGAGGGGACACTGGGACATGCCCCACTCACTCTCCTCCCAACAGAGTCTCCTGACACACTTTCCTAGACAGGCCACTGTGGCCATGTGCTACTGTCCTGTGGCTGCTGCGACAAGGAACGCCAATGTCGGCAGTGCCACTCAAACAGCACAGGTGTCCCCCCCCCCAGCTCGGGAGCTGGGAGGTGCAAGGGTCCCCAGGGGGTGACATCCGGGTCTCTGGGGAGCCTCTGCCCTGCCTTTTCCTGCCTCAGGCCACCCGCATCCCTCAGCTGGCCGCCCCTTCCTCCGCCAGGGCCGCGTCCTCTCGGTCACTCCTGGCTCCCCTCCTGCCCTCCCCCTCCTGGGCCGCGGCCTCCCCCCTTTCCCCTGTAAGGACTTCTGTGATCACACTGAGCCACTGGATAATCCAGGATTGTCTCCCGATTTTAAGATCCTTAAATAAATCACGTCTGCAAAGCCCCTGGCCCAGGAAGGTGACATTTACAGATTGCTGGACGTCGTTGGGAGGGCATCAGTCTGCCTATCAGAGGGGCCAGCATCCTCAGAACCCCGGACCTGGCAGCCCAGGAGACGCTCCCTGCAGGTCTCTTGGCACGTGGGGCGCCCCGCGTGGCCTCCAGGACCAGACCCCGATTCACAGTCCAGGACACACCGTGGAGTCCCCAGCCTGGCCACCTGCAGGGACCCTCTCCCTCAGCGTCCCTCAGGCCTTCAGCGGCGGAGGCGCTCTGGCCTCCCAATTCTCTGGGGCCAGCAGCAGCCTCGATTCTGAGTCCTCGAGCGCTTCCTGCCTCCCTCCTAGGCTCCACCCCCCACAGGAGCTGCCACCCACGGCCCTTCCTTCACCCCCCCCCCAGGGACTGTCCTCCGACCAGGCTCCCCTTCGCTCTGCAGCTGTGGCTTCTGCCCTCCGTCACCATGGAAACTGCTCTCCAGAGTGGCCACTGACCTCCCTGTGCCCAGAGCAAGGTCCCTGTGCGCCCTGCTCACGCTCCTGGCTCTTCTGCCTGCCTCCCCAGAGTCCTTGGCCAGCCCGGCCTCCCCGTCCATCCCTGGCGCTCCCCATTTCTGCACCTGTCCCCTCCTCCCATCTTGGTTGCACCCCTCTGGAGGTGACGTTGTTCCCTGGACAGTGGCTGAGGACACACGTTTGTGCCTGCAGTGCCCAGCTCTGTGCTCCCCACTCAAATTCCCAAACGCCTCCAGCTACACACTTCGCCTAGCAAGGCCGGGGACGACCCTGCGCCCAGCCCTCCTCCACTGTCCACCGGGGTCACCGTCCTCTGCATCCGCTCTGCCTCACACAGAGCAGGCACAGAAACCCTGGGGTCCCAGTAGCTGCCCCACTCCCTGCACCCCACCTCCGCCCACCCAACCCCATACCCTGCCCTGCTCCTCCTGGATCATTCCGGCATATTCTGGTCCCTTCCGTCCCTCTGTCCTTTCCTGGTCTCCAGCTGGGGTCTCTTGTCCTCGCGTCCTCTGAGGAGGTCAGATCCAGACTTGTGCTTCTTGAGTTCTTCCCACGATGCTGTGACATCCCTGGGATAAGACCCGAGCGCTCACCCTGGCTGTGTCACCGTCACCGTTTCCCCTCTAGCAGGGCTCTGACTGTCCCTGTGCTGGCCACACCCCGGAAGCCGCCCCTTACACCTCGGCCCCACCGTGCGCTCTCTGGGCTCCGCGTGCCCTGTTGTGGGCACTCCTCAAACTCCTGCTCCTGGTCAGTGCCCAGCTTTGATGTTCCATCCTGAGATCCCCCCCACCCCCACCCCCAGCTCAGCGCCTACACTCCATTGTCACTTCCCTAGTTCTGCACCTCCAGGTGTCACTCTGTCCCCAGTGGGAGCCCTGTGGCCAGGGCTGGTCCTTCCTCACCCGCAGGTCCTGGGCTCCTGACCCTGCTCCCTCCGTGACGGGACTCGGCAGGAGCCAGCGAGGCCAAGCACCTTCACCTTGTGGCCCAACAAAGCAGCCACCTGGCCATGAACACTATTTAACATGTTTTATTAAGTCCCTGTCATGAACAGATTTCAAAATGACACCCGAAGACTGCAAACAGGTGAAGGTTAGATGCAGGCCTCGGTGACCTTCAGGTATCGGGTCCCAGCTAGTGCAAATCTGGACTTGCCCATCTCAGGCTTCCTACTCCTGGCCTGGCTTCCCCTGGGGCAGGGACGCAGCCCCAGAAAAGTAGTCTGGGTGGCAGTTAAAGTCCCGGTGACGTGGCAGAGTGGCTAGGAGCCCAGGACCAGCTTTCAAGTCCCCGGGGGTGGTGGGCAGGCTCCTTGGCTCTGAGCCCGTGTCCCCATGTCCAAATTGGAAGAAAACTTATGCTTTGGCCACCTGAGACTCCACCTGAGACTGCACGCCCCCCACTTCTCCACCCCAGGACAAAGCATAAAGAGGAGGGGCAAACATCACCCGGGCACTCGCTAGCTGCAAGGGGAAGCCGCCCCCTTGGGGATGCGTGCTGAGTGCCCCTCCCGTGACGACTTGGCATCTCCGTCACTGTGGTTTCCTGTCAAGCCTCCGGGGGTCCAGGGACCCGACTGATTTCTTTAAGAGGGAGAAGAGGATGTGCTGCGATGTGACCGAGAAAAGGCAAAGAAACGTCACCTGCAGTGACCCTCAGTTGGACCTTGGTTTTGTTAAAAAACTATGCAAGATGTTTGGAGTCAAGGCAATTGGAATATGAGGTGGACATCAGGCAGGATGAAGGGATCATTGCCCGCTGTGCTGGACGTGGGCATGGTTCTGTGGCTGTGTGGAAAGTCCTCCTTATTTTCCTGGATGTCCTTAGGGAAGGAAGCATCCGGGGTGCGACGTCACGATGTCTGTGATTTGGAGTGTGGGGGGTCGTGTGTGTGTGTGTGTGTGTGTGTGTGTTCCTGCAGGAAGCCAGTACAACAACGCGCTGGTGACCCCGTGACTGGGTGGTAAGTGGAACAGCCATGTGGTTTGTGCACTTGTGGTTTTTCTGCATGTTTGAAAAATGTCGTAATAAAAAGACGCCAGCATCCAGAGCAAAGGGCGGGAGCCAGGCCCCCTGCTGTCCCCAGGCGGAATAAGAGAATGCTCCATTTGCTCTCCCAAGGCGTCACCGGTCCCAACAGAGAGGACGCAGGCACTGTGGGGCCCCCAGAGGCCTCCAGAGTCTGGACTGCCCGTCTGTCCCTCTGTGGGAGTGGCCGCCCTGACAACCCTGCCCTTCTGGAAACCCACGGAGGACGTCTGGCCTGCTGAGGAGCTGCGTCTTGCGCTGGGATAATTGTGGCTTGAGCAAGCCTCTAAACAGGAAGCCGGGCTGCAGCCGGTGGGCCAGACGTCCCCTCCCTTCCCAGAACAGGAGGAGGGGGGAGGCAGGGGGACTGCACTGTCCCCAGACACCTCGGAAGTCATGACGGGGAGGACGAGGACATGGAGCCGGCCACATTGCAGACTCCAGTGGTGACGGACAAAAAATAGTCTCTGGGCTTGAGCAGCTTGCGAAGTCAGGCCACTTGGAGGCTGGTCACCGTGACCTGGCCGTGCCCTGGAGCTCCGCCCTCCACAGCGGAGGTTGTTAAAACAAATGGAAACCCAGTTTTTAAATTCAACCACAAGGTGCACTCACGGCACCCTGTCATGGGCCCCGACCCGTCGCCTTCCCACTCTCGCGCCACGGCCAGGGCGGCCTGTTTCTGCACTTTCCACCCGCCGGCCACCCTGCCTGTCCTCCTTGCTGATGCTTCTCGCACCCACCTGACCACGGCCAGCTCCTGTGCTGCGCCTGGGGCCTTCGGCTTGCCGTGTGGGGTCCACCACGTGAATACGCCTCCACGGCCTGTCCTTCACGACGCTTCGGGGGGTCTTCACCTGGACAGAACCCCGGCCAGCAGACACGCTTGTGCTCCGTCCACGGCGCCTTGAGTGCTGAGTGAGCTGGACACATGGAGGATCCGAGAGGTCGGCTCACGACTCAGGATGACCACCCTGCTTCAGAGGGGAAGCTCCTGAATGCGGGCCCACAGTGCCCCTTCCCAAGGCGGGGGTCTGGACCCCTGTTTTGCCCCCCCACCCAGCCTTGGGTCACCCCTTGGCTGCGGGAGGTGCCTGGATCTGGGACCTGGGACCTGAGTGTGCTTTTACTTCAAGACCATCATGGAAATCACAGAGCGCCTCAGTCCCCCCAGTCCATTCTGCATGACCCCGGGGGTCCAAGACTGTGTTCAGGCCACTCCCAGTGGGGTCTGTGGCCTTGGCCAGTGGTCAGACCTCCCTGATGTCCTGTGACTGAGGTGGCAGTTGCTGAGACGGCTCAGAGCCCCCCAGTGCCACCTGCCCGGCGCCTGCTGCCGTGACCCTGCTGCCCACTCCAGCCCCTCCTCTGTTCCGGTCTTCTCCCACCAGCCTGTCTGGCAAGCGGCCTTCCTGCCAGGTGGCCTCTCCTCCCAACCGGTGCCAGGATGCCTTTTAAATTAACTTAGACCACATCCTGACGGACAGAGGAAAGGGCGTGTCCCTTCACCCCTCCTCCACGCCCTTCAGTCTCCCACCCCAGACACAGCACAGTCTCTAACTCCTCAGCCGGTTTCAGAAATAGAGATTCTAGCCAGGCACAGTGGTGGCCCACGCCTGTAATCCCAGCAGCCCCAGAGGCTGAGGCAGGAGGATCACAAGTTCAAGGCCAACCTCAGCAACTTGACGAGGCCCTGTCTCAAAATAAAAAAGGGCTGGGGAGTGGCTCAGTGGTTAAGTGCCCCTGGGTTCAATCCCCAGGTCCAAAAGTAAAGGGAAAAGACACAGGAATTCTTCGCCCCTGCCCCTGGCCTGGCTTGCATGGTGCAGGGTGGGTCGCTCTCTTCTGCTCTGTCTTCTGCCCTGCCCCCTGTGCCCTGCCTTGTACCCTGTCCCCCATGCCCTGCTGGTCTTTCCTCCCCGGGACGCGGACTCGCCTGATTCTCTTCAGTAGCCCAGAGTTCTCTCCCGCCTTCGTGACCAGCCCTCTGCCGGCCCCTGCAGGAGGACGGGTCTCATTTCCAGTCCACCACTGTCACAACCGACAGGGCACGTCTACACACATGTCTCTGTGCACAAGTGTCCGCAGGCCACTCCTGGCCCACGACGGAGGGGCAGAGGCCAACTGCTTCTTACCCTGATCAACAGTGGCAACTGGCCTCCAAGGGGCTGGGCCAGCTCCCCCTCCGGTGGCACCTGAGCAAGCGGAAGTGACCCACTGATCACGCCCCTGGGGACGGAAGCACCTCCCCAGGCCTGGCTGTGCGTGGGAATGGCTGGGGAGCTGGGAGGCAGTCCCAAGAGTGGACCCACGCCCGGGGTTCTGAGCTCATCTGGAGGTTCTTGAACCTCTCCCCAGGGGAGGCTAGGGTGTGCCGGGCAGGAGAGCCACGACTTTAACCTCACCGGAGCTCAGCCTGGGCAGGGGTAAGTCCTGCCCCTCCACCAGGAGCCCAGGCACCACCTTCCCACCTGCCTCTCCGCCTCCTCCTCCTGGCCCCTGCTACTTACTTCATACCCCAATCTCTGGTCGCACCAAGTCCCCTTTGTTTCCCAGAGGTGCTTGGTCCCCAGCCATCAAGGTCGCCAGCCGTCAAGGTCAGCTGCACCTTTGCCAGCTCCTCCTTGCCCTCCCTGGGCAGCTGCTGGGCAGAGTCCCCCTCCACCTGCACACACACACACACCCCTGTAACACCCTGCGGACCCAAGGAGCAGGCTTGCAAGAGCCCCTCCTTAGCGTCTCCTCCCAACTTGGCCGTCGCGACATCAGCTTGCAACTGGTCAAGGTAGGGGCATTTAGAACAGGGTGCCAGGGCGCCAGGCAAACATACGGGAGGGAACTTTCTCCCCAGAAATCCAGCTGTTATCAGTTGGCCGGGTCTCCCCTCCCTCTCCTGTCCACTCTCCCCTCCCAGGAAACTGGTCCTCAAGAGCCCATCTCAGTGGCCAAAGCCTGGTGGCCATCTCTGGACAGGAGAGCCACACGGTGTCATGGAAGAGGGTGTAGGTGTGGGGAGCAGGGCCTTTCCGTCAGTTGACGTCAGAGCACCTCTGGGGCCCAGGTGGCCGGCTGGCATGGCTTGTGGCCCCCCGGCAGCTCCCTGCACACCCTTGTCGGGCAGGCTGCCTGGGAGGTGCTGGGTGTCAGTAGGTCCCTGGGGAAGGGACAGCCAGCTGGCACCGTGTCGGGACATGGGAGTGGCTGTGGTGGTGGCTGCAGTGTGGGGGGAGGACGTTTCTGCAGTGTTGGTCCCAGGAGTGGAAGCTACTCAGGGTTGAAGGTAGTGTTGGGCCCAGGAGGCCTGTGCTGGTGGCCTGGGAGCCTAAGGGGTGGGCACAGTGTCGGGGAAGCAGGCCCCTTGCAGGGTCTCACTCTTGGAGGCCTCTTCTTGTGTCCCCTGGAGCCGCTCTGTGCGCCCCCCCGACACACACACACACAGGGAAATGGTTCCACTGGGCAGAGTGTGGGGACATCGCATTGCCTTCCTGGGGAACGCTGGGCTCCGAGGAGCTCACGGGCTCTGTGGTTGGTACCGGCTGCTCCGCAGACACCAGCTGCCTAGACGGGCCCCTTCCCAAAGAGACCGTCACACGGACAGCTGGTCAGTCAGCAGGATGAGACATTCCAGTGTGAAACTGGCCAGTGGACATGAAGACGTGAAGCTGGTTTCCCCCCGTGGTCTGGAGACTTCCTGGCTTTGAAGCAGCAGCGTCCACTGGGTCACTGGGGAGCTTCAGGGCCTGGTGTGTCTGGCTAGAGGTGCCTGATGGAGGCAGGGAGGCCTGGGGGGTGTGAGGGCCAGGAGGGGCAGGAGCTGGGGCCTCGGGCAGGCGGCAGGATGAGGACGGAGCCTGGGGTGGCATTCGGGACGGTGGAGGGAGCAGCCAGGCCCAGGGCGCCCCGTCCTGTGTGCCTGGACCGTGTGACAAGGCTGTGAGCCTTACTGCTCCCAGGACCCTGATGGGAGGACGGTCTAAAGTAGGACTTGGGTGGCCCGCGTGGCCCGTCCTTCCTGTCACACAGGCTCCGCGGCGGCCGGCCAGGAGATATTTATACTCCGCTCTCGGGGGACCAGGTGCTCTTGTTCGGCTCTTTCTCCCCACATTCTGAGGTTGACTGGGTGACTGGCCGATTCTTCCTGGTAGAGATGAACAGGGTTTCCATCGGTCAGCAAAGCAGCCCTCAGGTTGGGGTCCCTTGCCCTGGAGAGCAGCCTTGGATTTCTCTCCCCAGAGCTCTTGTCACCGTGTTCTTCTGAGCCTGGGAACGCTCAGGTCCTCAAGTGCTTCTGGAACCGTCCACCACCAGTGGCCCCTTGCTGATGAGTATCTGTGTCCACTCTCTTTGTACAGGGACAGTTTTTTGAAAACTGATCTTGACCCTTTTTCCTAATAAGATCCGCCTGCTGGAGACTCAGGGCAGACAGGGCCTCAGGGTGCAAGTGGCACTTCAGCCACCAAGGGTGACCCTGGGGCTCAGCTTGGAGTTGGTGCAGTGCACCCAGGGGTCAGATCCCATGGTTCCCAAACAGACCATTCTGAACCGAGTGGCAGAAAGTGACCACTTGAGATGGATTGAGAAGAAAAAGTGGCCCAGGTCCTGTTGGCCAGGACTTCCGCGGGGCCTGCGAGGGCCTCAGCTGGGCGACCCAAAGCTGGGCGACTTGACCATGGGGCAACCACATGTACTGCACTCTCGGGCTGAGCCTGCTGGCAGGACGGCCACCAGGCTGGGTCCAGCAGGACGGTGGGCCATGGGCCTCCCTGTGGCTCCCCTGTGGTGCCTCAGTGCTCTAGAGCCTGGTAGGGCTGCACGGCCCTTTGCCAGCCAGCTGAGAAGTCGCACGTGCCAAGCACTCTCACGCCCACACCCGGAGCAAGGGGCCCAGGCCTTGAGGAGCCGCGTGGGACCTGAGGTCACCCGAGAGCCGCTCCTGCTCCACAATTCCCAGCCCCATGGTCACTGCTGATGGCTCACAAGGACCTGTGTCTCGTAGCAAGCCCCAAGGCTTTCCTTAAAAAATATTAACAGTGTCCACTGGACACGTTGGTGTGAGCCTCCATACACATCACAGCAAGCACCGAGCAGGCCCAGCCCCGCCGACCTCCAGCCTCACACAAGGACGCGAGGCCTCAGCCCTTTGGAGCCCCAGGCGCTGCCAAAAGGCAAGAGAGGCAGACCCTAAGTCACGCAGCTCCTGTTCCCGGGCGCTCCGGGGCTCGCGGCCTGACATCTTCTTTTGGTTCTTCCCGTCTCAGGATTCCACGCGACCATGACGGAGAAGAAGCCAAGGAGGCCAAGGAGAACGGGGGCCTGAGGCCGCACCTGGTGGTCTCCTCCCCACCGAAGGGCGAGACGCGGGCCCTCTTCTGGGTTTGCGTTGACACCTCTCTCCTTTCAATCCAAAGCTCAAGTGCTGCCTGGAAATGGAGTCTGCAGCCCCCCTGGGTGGACCTCCATTCTTCTGGCTCTTTGGGGGTAAGTTTTTCAGAGTCTCTGGAACTGTTTCCTCGTCTGTAAAATGGGACTGATACTAGTTTTTTTTGGGGGGATGGTGGTACCAGGGATTGAACTCAGGGGCCCTTGAACACCGAGCCTCACCCCAGCCCTACTTTGTATTTTATTCAGAGACAGGGCCTCACTGAGTTCCTTAGCACCTCAAAGTTACTGAGGCTGGCTTTGAACTCCCCATCCTCCAGTCTCAGCCTCCCGAGCCCCCGGGATCACAGGCCTGAGCTGCTGTGCGCTGGCAGGTCTGATAATAGTTTATTATCTCTACCTCCAGGAGCTGATAGGGGTCTGATAGGATTCTGTACGCTGACACCGCAGGGCGTGGCGTGAGCTGGGAGGGCTGGATTAGTCTCACTGGGCTTGCTAAGAACTTCACAAGGAGATAAATGGTTCTTAATTGTTTCTGATATCCTGCCACAGCATCCTGGGTGAGCGGGAGAGTGTGTGTGTGTGTGTGCACCCACGTATCCCATGTGCACACGCGTGTGCGCTCCACCAGAAGCAGAGCCCGGTGTCCTTGCTGAGACTCTGGTACTCTCTGTCCTGCCCTTCGATGCTCTTGCTGCGCCTCAGCCGTGGTGAAGATTGAGAGAATCTAGGACAGTGAATTTCCTCAGAGGGACGAGAAGGTCACAAGGAAAGTCTGCTGCCCTCCACATCCTCAGTGTTCTAGAACAGGACTGAGGCGAGTTTGAGAAGCTAAAAGCAATTGGATAATTGACCTGTTTTTTTTTTTTTTTTAATAAACGCAGGAGCCCTGTTCTTCGCTGGAACACAAAAATGTTTGTGACTTTGAAAAGAAATATTGTCTGACTTGTTTTGCCGTCAGCAGAAATGCTGGCTTCGCTCCCGACCCCTCCTAGCGAAGCCACCAGACAGGACAGACAGGCCTGCCCTTGGCGTTGACAGGGAGGCTGGACCAGCAGCCAGGGCTGGGGAGGCGGGTTAGGCCCTCCTGGGGTGGTGGCCTCCTGGGGGTCACAGCCTCCTGTCCCAGGACCCCGACAGGCTCAGACACCCTGGCGGCCTCGTGCTGTGGGAACAGCAGCCTGGGCCTGAGGAGTTGGGTGGAGGGTGGCTCCCGTGCAGGGGTCAGGTCAGTCCTGACCTCCCTGAGCTGGGGGACCTGGCGTCAGAGCTGGCCTGGATCGGGCACGCAGTCCGTGACGGATGGATGAACACGGACACTCTCGTGGGTGGGTGGACCCTCCTCCTGCTGCCCACACTGTCTGAAGGTCATGAGCCATGGATCTTCTCTGAGCCGTCCGTTTCCTGGGCAGTAATTAGATACCTGCTTGGACGAATTGGTTGAGGATTTGGGGTCCAGTTAAGGCATCTTGACGTGCTCTGGACGTTAGATGTGACAAAATCTTACTGAAAAAAGAAGGTGTGAGAACCGCGCACCATGTCCATAGCACAGTCTGTCTGGGTTGAAAAATGTGTGCATGCACGAATTCCAATCACAGCTCCCCCCAGATATTGTCAAAATGGCCACTGAGGACGCAGGCGGGTCTCAGGCTGGGGCTCTCGCTCTGTGCGGTGCTCTTCCTGGAAGATTTCCCATGTTCCTATGACGACGAGTTGCCTGGGTGATGTGCGCACAGTAGGAACTTCCTCTTCATGGCTGTGGAGGCTGGACCCGAGACCCGGGAGGCAGCATGGTGGGCCCTGATGGGGCCGCTCCCCAGGCTGCAGGCTGCCCGGCCTCTGTGTGTCCTCACGACGGGGAGAGAAACCCTGGAGCTCTCTGGGGTCCTGTTGTAAGGACGCTGACCCCCTCCGAGGGCACCACTTGTGACCTGATCCCCTCCCTAAGGCCCCCTCCTTGGACCACCGCAATAATTTCTTTCATTCAAAACTACATTAAAAAATACAAACACACACTCACAAGGACACCCTTTCTGTCTTGTCACACACGTCGCCAGGCCATTCAGAGTCAGATGGCTGAGATGCGGCTGCCTCCTGTTCATCATGAACTCAGGCCTCTCAACACTGAGCCATGGTTCATGCTATTCCTTTACAGGTGAGGAACCAGGAGCTCAGAGAAACCAAGCAACTTGTCCAAGGTCGCACAGCAGGAAGGGAAGTGTGGGCGAGCTTTGGACAAAGACATGCAGAGCCCGTGCCCTTAAGCTTCCCCTGTTCGGCTGCATCCTCATAAAGACAAAAAAAGCAACTTGCCTTTTTGGGTGATTTTCATGGTGAATTCATTTTTTTTTTGGTACAAATAAATTCAGGGACAACACCTGCTGATAGGTACAGAGGTGCCCCGTGACTTCTGATTCCTGAATGGCTTTGCCGTGTGGCTGAGACAACAGCCTGGATGACCCGGGGCCTTCTGGAGCACCTGGACGGCACCTGTCCAGGGGAACTTGTAGAGCACACGGGGACGAGGATTCAGGATAGCTGAGGAAAACCTCTCTGGGGCGTCCGAGAGACCCCTGTGTCCTGTGCACAGAGTACAAAGGATCCCTGGGGGCTGGGAAGGCAAGGCGGCTGTCTGGCTGTCCCGGGGGACCGTGCTCTTCCTGGTGGGCCACACTATTCTTTGTCACCTGTGGGTCACATGTCAGCTCCTTGGCCCGTTGCACTTTGAGGTTGTGGCAGAGTGTCCTGGGGGCACCCTCTCTGGTGGCCAGGAATGCAGTTGATGAGGGAAGACAGACGTCTCACGGCAGGGGCAGCTGCTGGCCCTCAGCCAAGGCCCTGGCCACCCCGGTTCTGCCATCGCCTGAGCCAGGGACCCCAGGGCCCAGCCTGTGTCTGCCATTCCCAGAGAGGGAACAGCTGGTGTGACACCTTCCGGGTCTGCTCCCCCGGCTGTGAGCTCATCGCCACAGCCACCTGAGCTCTGGTGGGAACTTAATTACTCTCAGTCCTGCTGTCTGTCTACGGCTGCGGCCACCGGGGGCTCTGAGATTAAAGTATGAAAAGAAATAAATTATTTAAGGATGTGCCTTTGAGCAGGGGCAGCTGAACCTAGATAAAAAACCAGACGTCCAGCCTGCCGGTTCTCGGCCGCACCTCCACCCGCTGCCCAAGGTGAGCAGCAGCAGGCGACACCCCTCGTGCCAAGGCTCGCACACTTGCCCCTCGTGTTCCAGCTTCACTGGACTTTGGTGCACCGCCAGTCTAATGCATAAGGATGGCACAGAACAGAGAGGTTGGGCTCCTGGACCAGCATCACACAGCTTCAAAAGAGCACACAGAAATCTGAACCCGAGTCTGTGCCTTTCAAACCTGTGCTGGTTCCACCAGGATCTGTTCAAAGGAGTGGCGGGTCGGGTCCTAGACAAAGCATTCAGTGAGACTCTCTGATTCTGGCTTTTTCTATTCATGGTGTAACGATTGGAGGTAGGAAACAACCATTGATAAGTGTATTGAGAAAGAAAGATAAGTCCCGTGACGTCTGTGGGAACATTAAGCAATGGGAAATTGCTCAGCAGGCCCAAGATGGCTTGGGCTGGGACACGGGCTGTCAGCTGTGGGATCCACTGATGGAGACAGCTCTGTAATGGGGGTTTCAGGGCTCCTCGTCTAACCTGGTCCTCGGGTGCAGGAGGAGCCAGGTTTCCATCCGGCTGGGCACCACCGAGCCTGACCGTCCTCCTGGCTCGACGCTCTTCTCCCAGGCCCAGGGCGTCAGGGGGGTTGACAGGTCCTGGTGCGCTAAATCTTCTTCCAAAACTGGCTCACGTCTGACCTACCACCTGTGCCCTGGAGACTGCCACCTCTTGGTCCCAAGGAGACTCAGTCTTCAGCCAAACAGGACAGATGAGTCGCAGAGGTTTTTTGGGTGCTTTTAAAGTGAGACGCTAAGCAACTCAGTGAGACTCTGTCTCTAAATAAAATACAACATGGGGCTGGGGATGGGGCTCAGTGGTGGAGTGCCCTGAGTTCAATCCCTGGCACCAAAAATAAATTAATTAATTGATCAAAAAATTGTAAGACATGGGTCACATAAAATGGATCATTTACCAAGTTTAAGTGACAGACAGGTGACTCGAAGCCCATCCACACCATTGTGCAACCATCTCCCCAGACAGTGTCCCCTCAGGCGTCCCCCTCCCCAGTCCCTGACAGCCACCCTCCCGCTGCGTTTCTGGGAACTTGCCTGTTGGGGGGCCTCGTGAGTGGGACCCTGCCGTGTGCGTCCTCTGGTGACTGGTCACTCACCCACTGGTCCTCGAGGTCCTCCTGTTGTGGAATGTTCTAGAACTGCCTCCTCTGCAAAGCAGACACTGTTGCGGGGCTCGGCTGCATTTATTCGTCCGTCCTCCTTCCAGGGGCGCCTCGGTGGCTTCCATCGTCTGGTGGGTGGGCAAAGCTGCCGGGCCGAGGGGCCGAGGAGTCGGCCCTTGCTTTCTGTCCTCTTGGGTTCATTCCGGAGGAGCTGCGGGGTCACAGGGCCGTTCTGTTTTCAGGTTTTGAGGAACAGCCGGCTGCTGTGACCGTGTCCCCGAAAGCTCATGAGCTGGAAATCCAATCCCCAGAGTAAGCAAGAGGTGACCAGGTCAGGGGGCCCTGCCCTTGGGTGGACTGACGTCACTGTCACAGGAGTGACTTTGGAAGGTGCTGGCCCCACAGGAAGTCCCAGGATTCATCGTCAAGATGAGCAGCCTCCGAGTTCCTTCCCTGACTCTGCAGATGTTTCTTGTCTGGTGGTTCATTGACTGGGATGGCCAGATGCTCTGAGGATTGTGTCACCCTCGGTCCGGGTGCCTCTGAAAACCTTGGCTTTACTCCACTTCCTGACAACAGTGGGCCCAAGAGGTTCTTGACCTCGTGGCCAGTTCTCTTTCCTACAGTTACATAATGTCTGCCGGGTCCTCGGCCCCCAGAACCAAGACTGCACTTCCCAGCATCCCTTGCAGCTAAATGTGACCTGGTGACCGAATCTGGCCAACGGATGTCAGTGGGAGGTGGTCATGGCGGCCCCTGGGGACCCACCAGGCTGGTGGGCACCAGCCAGCTGCCCCTCCATTCTCCATCCTGCAGTCTGAAGCTGTCACGTCAGACCTGAGGATGGGGCCAGATGACAGAGACCAGGGAGAGGAGCAGGGGCACCGTCACGCTCGGAGCTGGTAACGCTGGGCCTCTTACGTGGGGACCTGGACCCTGTCTGGCCCAAGGGGCTGTTGTTTTGGGTCACTGGTACTTACCAGCAAGCCTGATGCTTACCCCTGAGCCAGGTCATGGCAGTGACTGTCCCTGGCAGGCCCTCTCTTCCAACAGCTTCAGAGAACCCTAGGGAGCCGAGGTTTTCAGCCAAGGATTTTGCCCCCAGGGGCCATGTCTGGAGACATTGTGAGTCATCCTGAGCGTGGGGTGGGGCTGCTACTGATGCCCAGTGTCCTGCAGTGTCCTGGACACACCCACAGCAGAGAAGCACGTTCCAGCCTCAGTAGCACTGAGGTTGAAAAGCCCTCTTGGTTTTGTTTCACAAAGGAGGAAGTTGAAGGCAAAGGCTTACGTCACTTTCCTGTGGTGACAAAGCTCAGGATGGGATTGTCAGGACTCAGGGCATTCTGTCCAGGGTCGAGGGCTGGTGTGCACGGGAGGCCAGGCCTGGCCACATCAACATGGCCCCCCACGCTCTGCATGTCTGACCTCATCTGAGGAGCCTGGGAGCTCCTGGAGACCGACTGTGCCATCCAGATGCCGACCCGTGAGGGGGCTTCCGTTGGGAGTACCATTGCCCAGTGCAGCGCATCCAGCAGGGCTCTGCCCAGTCAGAAGGGATCTGGGCTGCAGGTCCCAGAGTCTCACGGTCCAGGGCTGGCCCTTAGTGACGATGGGCAATCAGATGGGAGGGACGTGGAGGCTGGGGTGGAGGCACTTGGGGATCTAGTAGGAGAGGCAGATGCTAATTGGCGTGGACAGTATTTTAGCCTGTACCACCACAAGCCATTCTGGTATACAAAGGGCACATGTCACATGTCACAAGTACAGAGGGGTCATTTGGAAGAGCAAATCTGAAGAGGCAGCCTCCGTGAACTTCCAGCTCATCCAGCTCACTTGGGCTTACAGAGGTTAAAACCCACCCACATGAAGGTGGGCCATGGGGGGGGGGTAGGAGGAGGAGCAGGAGGAGCAGGAGGAGGAGGGGGGAGGAGGTGGAGGAGGAGCAGGAGGGGGGAGGAGGTGGAGGAGGAGAGGGGGAGGAGGAGGAGGAGCAGGAGGGGGAGGAGGGAGAGGAGGGAGGAGGAGGAGGGGGAGGAGGAGGAAGAGCAGAAGGAGGAGGAGGAGCAGGAGGAGGAGGAGGAAGAGCAGGAGGAGGAGCAGGAGGAGGAGGAGGAGCAGGAGGAGTGGGGGGAGGAGGAGGAGCAGGAGGAGGAAGAGCAGGAGGAGGAGCAGGAGGAGGAGTGGGGGAGGAGGAGGAGCAGGAGGATTGGGGGGAGGAGGAGCAGGAGGAGGAAGAGCAGAAGGAGCAGGAGGAGCAGGAGGAGTGGGGGAGGAGGAGGAGGAGCAGGAGTGGGAGGAGGGGGAGGGGGAGGAGGAGAAGCAGGAGTGGGAGGAGGGGGAGGGGGAGGAGGGAGGAGGAGGAGGAAGAGCAGAAGGAGGAGGAGGAGCAGGAGGAGGAGGAGGAGAAGGAGGAGCAGGAGGAGGAGGGGGAGCAGGAGGAGTGGGGGGAGGAGGAGGAGCAGGAGGAGGAGTGGGAGGAGGAAGAGCAGAAGGAGCAGGAGGAGCAGGAGGAGGAAGAGCAGAAGGAGCAGGAGGAGCAGGAGGAGGAGGAGGAGTAGGAGGAGGAAGAGCAGAAGGAGCAGGAGGAGCAGGAGGAGTGGGGGAGGAGGAGGAGGAGCAGGAGGAGGAGTGGGGGAGGAGGAGGAGCAGGAGGATTGTGGGGAGGAGGAGGGGGAGGAGGGGGGAGGAGGAGGAGGAGCAGGAGGAGGAGGAAGAGCAGAAGGCGGAGGGGGAGGAGGGGGAGGAGGGGAAGAGGAGGAGATGACCTCAGAGCACCTGCGGCCTCAGACTTGGAGCTGGGTGGTCTGATTTGCTTCATTCCTGGACTCGTGGGAGCTGAGTGCTCATTTGTCCCCACTGTCCAGATGAGGAAACGGAGGCCCAGGGAGACTGGGTGCCACATTGGGGATGTTGTAGCTAATAAGCGAGCTCAGGACTTTATTTGGACAACCCCTGTGTTAGAAGGCAAGTAAGTGGGATCTGGGGTCCCACA